CATCAGTCCCATCAGCAGCAACTGCAGTCCCAGCAGCACCATCCGTCCCGTCCGAGGGGCCCGCCTCCACCCTTTCAAGAGGTCGGACGCCCACTAGTCCAGCAGTCGCTTCAGCCCCTCATCCCCCCACACATGGCTCACCGCTCCTCGCCACTGCGGCAGATGGAGCCACAGCCGCCACGAATGATGAGCCCACAGCCGCCCAGCTTCTCTCAGCATCGTCAGCAACCTCCGCAGCCCAAAAACATCCACATCAACCCCCATTTCAGAGGGCCGTCATCCTCCTCTGTCCAAGGTACAGCATTAACCCTCACTCTCACGCCGTTCTTAGTCAACGTAGGACACGTTGTGTGTGCTGCATTAGTCTGATGATAAGCCAGCATGGACGTACATTAACATGAGCCAGCTGTACACACTCTGTGTCATGAAGGTCCAGAGTCTGTGGCTGCTCCGTGTTGTTTTAGTTGTATTTCCTGTTCCACATCTGAATCTGAACCATCCTGTGTTCCTGATGTGACGGTGGTCCTTACAGGCTGTTCTGTGAAGGTGTGGTCCACATACATATTCTTCCACCTCTCCTCTGCAGTGGAGGCTCACGTAGTCTCTCTAAGCCCATGAACTAAAAACTGGTGTCTGCAGTGAAGCACAACAATAGCACTTAAACATAAATGAAAGAAAATCGTTATTTTTGTCACGTAACAAACCTAAAAAAAAAAAAAAAAAATTTCCACCACGTCTTATCAGCCAGGACCCAGTGAAGCTGCATGACAGGTTTTTGTCACTTATCCTCCTCACCCTGTCCCAAAAGGTGTTGTGATGTGAGTGTGGTTTTTTTGTGTGGTTGAGTGACATGTGAAGAGCTCCCTCAGCCAGTAATGGGTTTATCCTGCTTCCTGTTCCTGCTGGCTTCACCGTTCTGTTCCCTGAGATGGGTTTATCTGGCCAGTCAAGACCGAGCTTCTCTGACTAACGTCTGTGTGTGTGTGTGTGTGTTATTGGGGTGGGGGGGGGAGAGGGTTCTCCTGAGAATTGTGCTCATTTTTGAAGATCAGTGTTGCCTCCAGCTTGACTGTTAGTGTGTGTGTGTTTGTGCTCATTTCTATAGTGTTTTTTTTTGTCAGCCGTGGAATCAATCACTAAACATACAATTGTGGTGACCCTTATTTTGAAGCACCATGCCAGGAAAACTGACGTTTTCATGCCAGATTGTAAGAAGCAGCAGACTTTGTTTATTTAAGTTGTTAAATTTGCCAACTTTCTGACACCTTTTTTTTTCTTTCAGCTCATCAGTGTGGAGAGATATTTAACATGTTAACTGACCTCCTCCTCCGTTACCTACTGCCCCTGATTTTAATTTCCTCTCCTCCTCTGCCCCCCTTCATGTTGCTCCCTCTCTCCCTCTCATTGCAGTGCCCTTGATGCCTCCTGCTCAGAGCCAGCCCAGACCTGCTGTTGGTCCACAGAGGTTCCCTGTGAGTAGCAGCTGCTCCTCTTTTTCTCTTTTGCCTCTCTTTAGCACCCCCTCCTCACGGTTACCATGCCATTTTGCAGGGGTAATATCACCATGGCAATTAGACTGCCCTGCCCTACCCTGCTCTGCCCTGTCTAAATACTGTTAAAGTCAATCTGTAAACACTGATCCCAGCCGCGCCGCACACATGGAAATGTGCGATAGAGGTTTTAGGCAGTGGACTGACGCCGCTGTGACACGTCAGGGCCTCGGACGACACGGCTTGGTACGTAATGGAATTATAAAACCAGGATACTTTGTCAGTTTCACTTTCCACAAGTTGGTGTCCCAGAGGCATGGAGATCTTTTTCAACACTCTTTGAGTTAATGAAACATCTCCAAGGTCTGATGACTTTCAGCCGTGAGCCTCCTGCATGTTTTCTCCAGGATGAATTTCCCGTCAGGGTAAAGGGAACTGAGTGTGTGTGTGTGTGTGTGTGTGTTTTGCTCCTTGTTAGTAAAGGCCTTTATTTCTCTCTTTCTCTCACAAAGAAGCCATCTGAGGGATGACAGAAATGCCTTTAAAGTAATTACTGTGTGGAGGGAAGTGGCTCAGCAGCCAAAGTGCCTGAAGTTACTCCGTCCTTCTACTTAATGATGCTCAGGCATCAGGTGCTGCTGGTGCTGACTGACGTTTTCCTGGAAAGTACATTTTATATGGATTTATGCAAATTAGTCACAGTAAAATTGCTGCATCCAATTGCATTCATGTGGATTTAGCAGCCTGTGTCCAAATGAGCTGGACTCTAAGACTAAAGCCAGGTTTTGAGGTCATAAAAAATGGACCTGTTTTTATTCCCATCCTTCAGTGTCAGTATCACAGTCTCTCCTCTTCCCTGTGGTCTCGGACCTTTCTGCCTATTGATAGCACATGTTACACAGTGGAAGGATGGGATGGAAGCCTGTGGTGACGCCGACGCGCTACAGTGTCGGCCTCCCTGCTGTCATATACGTTTAGGCTGCGGCTGCCAAGGACACAATTTGAAATGCAGGTGACATTCCATTAACCAGTGGGCACCTGATTACTCATGATTATCATACATTATCATCCCATCAAATTTAATTGTTGAAAGAACAGGCAGTGTGTGTGTGTGTGTGTGTGTGGGGGGGATGTCACTGCCTCTAGTGTTAATTCATTACATTTTTGCTGCTGGACGGCAGTTTTTAAATATTAATCCTGGTGCCGATTGGAGGTATTAAAATATTAAATCCCTTCAGATAATGACATTCACTCTAACCATGGAACAGAGGTGACGCAAATGAAATGTTATCTTTACTTGACAAAACCGTCGAAAGAAATAATGTTTTGTTGTGCTCTTAGCTGATTAAATTTGAACACCAAACATATATTTATAGATATATATATTTATATATATTTTTTATATATATTATATATATATTTTTTTATTTTGTTTTATTTCAATGGTGGCCTCATGCATTTTTTTAAGCACAATAAAATGAAAAACCACACAGTTCCTGCACAAACCCAGACTGATGAAGAAGGTTTGAACTGTAGAACAGATCCCAGGTTCCACGTCGGGTCCTTGGGTTTCAGATAGTTGTGATTACACCAGCGGTGCTCGGTGGAGTAAAGACTGTTGAGGTAAATCTGAAATGATAGTGTCTGTGCCACAGAGGAGAGACACCACTGTACACAACAGGAGTCAGGAGTTTGAGTCCACTCATGGAAGGATTGACACACCTCGTCCTTAATGACAAAAACATGCTGTCACCAGGCTGAGAAACAAAGTCCAGATTCTCTTCTGTATTGAATATGTGAGGGCGCCCCCTGTATCTGTCACGGTTATCCTCTTAGTGCAGCGAGGTTTCCCAGCATCACTTACGTCAGCTCTTTATCAGGGATTAGAAGTGAGGAGCTGAGCCCTGTTATTTTAAAGGTATTATATGGACACCGGGGTCCTCATTGTGCCAACCTGTCTCTCTGACCTTTTCCAGTCGTACCACTGCACCCCCATTGTGCTCCTCTGTCTTTGTAAGCCCCTTTCATTAACTTTCTCTCAAGCAACTTTTGGGGAAGGTGGCCTTCAGTTTCTCTCCAAACAGCAGATGGATTAGACCTGGATGGTATCTGCAGTCGTTTACAGCAGGCTTAGAGGAGACGGCTGTGAAGAGACACATGTTGAACAGCAGGTTCATTTCTCAACAAAGACCAGGGTTTAAAAGAATGGAGACACTTAGGAGGATCATGTGAATCACAAAGTGAGATTAAGAGTTGTTTTTTTTTATCTGGCTTTCCTTGAAAGACAGACTGGAGTAATGTGCACGCAGTGAGAGCTGTGGACACTAAGACAAAGCTGAGGACATTTATCCCCTCATGAAAATAGTCTCTATTTGTTAAAGGTGGGCTTAAAGAATTAAAGCATTAAATTATTCAGCTTTCTTTTCATTTCAGGCCACAAGGTTTCCTTAATATTGATGTGCATATTTATGTATGAACGTCAGGACTGAGTGTTTTTAATGATGAAGCCCCTCCCTCCTCCTCCTCCTCCTCCTCCTCCCCCTCCTCCTCCTCCTCTCTCTGCCGTACCCAACGGCTAATTCTCACTCATTCATTACTTTCATTCACGTTTGCTCTTTGATTTCCCAGTTTGACCTTTAATTCATGACCGTTGTGTTTTTCCCAGGGACCTGGAGACTTCCAGCAGCACATGCCTGATAATTTTGGTCAGGCCCAAAGGCCCCCTCATCATATAGAACCCTTCAGGAACCACCCCCCCCATGGTCCCCAGGACAGGAACCCCCACTTCATGCCAGGTGAGCCCCCACACTTAGGGGTTAAGAAGCTCCTCTTCATAATGTTTAACCCACTTTGACATGGGCTCTGGCAGTATAGCTACAGGGGGCGCTGCTCTATTAGCAGCACTCATGTTAAATGCATGTGTGTATATATATATCCATCTGAATGAGGAAACATGCATTAAACATGTGTGTATGTGGTGGGGTTGATGCAGGAGTGAGGTCGTCCACTGGGCTGTTAACCTTTCACCTTGATAGAGTTGTCTATGATAGAACAGAGAGAGAGACACAGAGACGCACAGAGAGAGAGAGAGAGAGTTACTGATGATTCAAAGCTGACGTCTTCTCTGCTTTGGCACAGAGCACACTGACTCACCACGGTTCCCAGGGCCCCACATGTTTGACCACCCCAGTCCTCTTCTGAACAACAACAACAACAGCGTTCACCAGCAGCTGTCTGGACCGGGCCACATGAGTTTTGGGCCACCAGGACCGGCCTTTAACCAGTCCAACCAGGGCCCCGCAGGATTGTTTTCCAGAGACCCTCCCAGACCTAACCACCCTCCCCACCAGGGGCACCAGGGAATGGTGGGGATGAATCAACAAGGAGGCCCCCCCAACCAGCCCCGTCCTTGTTTGGGCCCCCGTCAACCGTTTGGTCAGCAGGGGGCCTTGTTCCCCCCTCCATCGGTGCAGTTTGGTATGCAGGTACGACTGAGAGTAAGTGATGTTTTTTATCTTTGACTGTGATGTTGAGTAGCTGTGACTGCACGGTGAACGACACTAAGTTGATGGTGTTTCTGCTCCAGTCTTGGTGTGTGACCAGGTGACCACCATGTTGTGTCACCTGGTCATGTTGTGTCACCTGGTCGTGTGTAAATGTGCTGAGTGGTGGAGTCTGCACATGAACGGCCTGTTGTTATACTCACTGCTGCTGAGGCGTCACAGCACAAAAAAACTAGACTCTACGCCATCTGTGGCATGTACATGAGCGCCCTCTACTGACGGAACTAATATTGTGGTCAAACTGTGCACAAACCTTGGTACACTCCCAGTGATTACAATAAAGACCAGACTCAGCTGTTGGTTGGTAATTAGGAAATAATTAGTACCTGAAGAGGAGACGTATTATTTTAGAAACACTCTCTGGGTCTGTTTATTAAGACCTTTTTTTCTTGTCTGTAATTCCAGGGTCTGATGCCCGGTCCTCCTGTTTCCCAGCTTCCTCATCACGACTCCCTGTCTTCCCATCAGCCCCTGCATCAGCACCAACACCACCAGCAGCAGCAGCAGCATCAACATCACAGACAGGAGCTGCCCCACCACCACCATCTTCCTCATCAGCAGCAGCAGCGAAATTTAGTGGAGCCTCGTCCCATGATGCACCACGGCCAGCACCCCTTCCATCAACAGCAGGGGCACGGTGGCCCCAGGCCGATGACTCCGCGTCCTCAGAACCCCCAGCAGCGCAACATGTCCAACAAGCAGAGGATGGTGAGAAAGGAGCATAATAATGTGTGGCAGTTGTATACGGTGTCATTAATTCATCAGTCTCAGTCTCATTAACCAGTGTGGTACCAGCAACATGGAGCCTGGTGTGTGTTTATCTTTGACTCACGAAATGTTCACTGTGCACCGCTACAGAACACACCCGTCTCCAAGCAAATGCAGCTGCGAAACAGCAACCTACGGGAGCTCCCCGTGGCACCTGGCAACATGAGCGTGAACAGCGCCCAGCCCATTTCTTCTCCCACCCCCAGTGTCAGGCCGGTTGCCAGGGCAACGCAGGGGGCGCGTCCCGGACAGAACATTCAGCCAGCGCCCAACCGTGGCAGAGGACGAGGGCAAGTCCCTGCCAACACCGAGTCGCAGCCCGGGGCGGCAGGAAGGGCGGTGGTCCACAAGGAGGTCCCGAGTACAGCATCCGCCAAGACACAGGAGGTGAAGAGACAAAGTGATGATAAAGGAGTTTACTTTATTTCAAGATGGCCAACATGTCCAACATGTGACCGGGACCAGCTGTGTTTTTGAACCAGTAACTGTCCATGGTCTGGCCTCTGTGTTTAATGGCTGAAGGTCACATGACTGCGTGAATCTAAAGTCTCCTGGCCTTCTTTGAATAACCAGGTTCAACCTTGAGTTGACTAGTGACCTGGTAACTAGTCCCCTCTACCCTGATGATCCTCTCAGTTTGAACTGATGATGATTCAGTTGTTCCAGTACTTTTGTTCTGATGAAGTCAGTGACCTGATCAGTGTGCTGATATTGATTAAAACCCAATCATAAGGTTGTTAACATCCACGCTGCCTTCACACATGTGTGTAGGTCGATCAATACGATACTCCACAGTATTGACTATAATCACATTTGAATGTGACGGGGTTCAGCTGGGATCCAGGGGCTCAAAGCCTGTGTTTCTGTGTTCCACAGGATCCTGATGAAGACGAGGAGACTCGGCAGTATCGTTTGAAGATCGAGGAGCAGAAGCGTCTGAGAGAGGAGATCCTGAAAAGAAAGGAGCAGCGGCGGCAGATGCAAGCTGGCGCCAGGAAGAAGGAGTTGATGGAAAGGCTCAATTCCCTGGCGCCGAATACACAGAGCGAAGGCCCAACTCCACCGACTCTTCCCACACAGCACAACCTGCAGACGGCAAACCCTGTACAACAACAACAAGCAGCAGCAGCAGCACCTCGGCAGCAGCAGCTACAGCCACAACCACAGAGACCGTTTCCTCAGAGACCCCAACAGTCGTCAAGTCAGTGTTTGAAAACTCCAAATCAAGACCCAGCAGTTCATCCCAACGGTGCTGCTCCACAACCCAACGTTAAAACACATCTGCAGTTGCCCAAAGGCGGCGGCGTTTGGGGCGGTGGCGGCGGTGGCCCACAGACTCAGACACCGGGGCTGCTGCCAAACCAGCAGTGGAAACAGCCTCAGCAAAATCAGCCGCCCGAGCAAAGAGGGATCAGTGCTGCACAGAACGTGAACAGACCCGGCGCTCAGGTCCAGAAGAACATCCCCGTACTTCCTTCATCCGGCCCGGGCCTGGCTGGGCCTCTGGGTCACGGACCTCAACCTGGAGCTAAGAGAACTGTAATGCAGAGAGCCAAGAATCCTGATGCCGAAGGTCAGCAGGTGCCACAGAAAGTCCTGAGAGTTTCTGGAGCGGTGAGCATTTGTTTCAGTCTCCTTCACCACTGACGTGTACTCCCAGGTGGTGGCGCTACACTTAGGAACTCCACCAGTTTTAAATGCCACTGATTGCTCTCTTACTTACTTTGTTTTACAACTTGGAACAAATGTAACCTATGAGAATGACAAGGTGATGTCTGTGTCGTTTTGGTAAGAATTGATTTGTTGAGAGTTTCTTCTCCAAAGCTGCGGCGCGTGGTATTTCAAAGGTAACGCCTGAACGTAGACCTAGAACAGAGAGGAGCTCAAAAAGAGCGCTCTGACATTTACCTGAAGAGGTGGAGAAACCTCACCACTGCTCTTAAAGGTTGATACCCCTCTTTTTAAGGACACTGGAGTGTTCTTTCAATAACAAGACAAGAGCGTTGGAGAGGATGAAGCAGAGGGACAGTGACGCTGACAAAGTCTGTGTCTATACTCACTTGATACCACCCTGCTTCTAATTACACACTAATCTTTATTGAAAACACACAAAAGCATGCATGTTAAACATTCATACTTGTCACTGATGAGACGTGTTGTGGCGTCGTGATAGTATTTGAATTAAGCTGCTTTCCAGCTCCATCCCAGAGGATCAGGCTGCAGAGCCAGAAATGGCAGCCAGGCTGCAGATGAAGATAACTGGGTGTCACTGCTTTAATGGAAACCTGTGCAGAG